CATTTCACTGAAACAGACTACCTATTTATACATGAAGCTTACAAATGAAGCTTCAAGAAATCTGAACTATGGCAGCCATCTATCTCCAAATGAACACAGGTAAATTAGTCCTCATCAAATACCTGGAAATTGAACTTGTTACACAGTGTGTGATGACAGATCACACAGCAAGAAACCAGATAATTCATGATTTCTGAGATGTATTGTAATTCAGGCTTTGCCCCAGAAACTCTGCTTTATTAAGTGCCCTCTGAGTAGCATCACAATATGCATGAACTTAGTAATTGCTGAGCAAATCTGAACATGTCCCAGGGCACTGAAGTACCAGATTGTATTAAGGGGGACAATAAGTCATTGTCATACTTCATCAGTTGTGAATCATGATTAATTTGAGAAATCCACCTTTCTGTATGGTCTATGTCACACATGCTTTGCTCCCCATTTATTTTCTTCACAGTGTTGATCAAGAAATTGTACTTCTATGTAAAGACCAGGGTAAGCATCTCATAATGGGGACAGAGAATCAATACATGCAGTAGAAATGACACATTATCAAATGAAAAGAATTGATTTGATAAAGAGCCTAATTGTCAAATATGCATAATGGAGATTTATTGCAAGCTTTATCCTCTTCAGAGGTATAGAAAACACAGAGTGCAGACCTTTGGCTGTTTCTAAGTTCAGTGAAGATGTAGAGTCCCATCTTCTCGAGAACCAGAGGCTAGGAAGAGGTATCTTCAAGAAGACCTGACCACTTGAAAAAATAATGTTGGAAATAACAATGGAAAAGCAACATCAACATATGGAAAAATAGGAATTTGATGTGAAGTCTCTTAGAGAAATGTAACCTTTTGAGTATATATTTTCCCCTCAAAATAAATGAACAGTCACATTGTACAGAGGGTTATGTATAAGATATGAACCTCCAATGGAGGTTTCCTGAGATCTCTAGCAATCTATGTTCTATCAAACGCTATCATAGAGAAATACTTTTTTCTTTTTAAATGGGAAGTTTATTTAAAAATAAAATGAAGGTGTCATGTTTTGCACTCACATCTCAGTGCTTATTGCTGGCAATGAGCGTATTCTGAGCACTAGAGCCAGAGCCCTAGGCTTCTAGGTATAGGATCTTAAGCTATGATCAGGTTGTAGTTCTGCTGTATTTATTAAATGTTTACTTATTTATCATATATTTATATACTTGTGGTATTCAAAAAGTTGGTGGTGACCTCCTTGATACACAACAAATGTATTCCCAAAGAATAAAGTTTATTTATCAGGATAGGATGCCTCATCTGATAATATCTGGTGTTTGCACTGAAATGGCAAGGACAGGGAAAGCCGGGGCTTCATTACTTCTCAGTTCTGTTTGCAAACTGAACATTCTGGCCTGAGTCATCATCTCTCTTTGCCCATACCTTTTCCTACTCTGCTGAAAGAAATCTGTTTCATCCTCCTCTGTGGAAGGCTCTTGAGCTAAGCCTACAAGAGCATTTGGTAGACATCTTCTGTTTCGTTTTATTACTGGGACAGTTGTACAAGTCACTTCATTTTTCAGCATATATGTTGGGTAACCCCAAGTCAAAGGCATAAATTACATACTCAGTTACATCCGTTTCATGCAAGTGACTTAATTTCATTCTCCTCTTTTCTGGGGCTGGATAAAGCTCTTTTGTGCATTCAGACATTTCCTTTATCTATTCATCTTAGTGTCAAACTAGACTGAAACCTTTGCCTGGATGCTATGAATTAATATGAACATGCAAGTATTTCTGTAATATCTTGACTTCCTCACTCTTATGTAGGCAGAAGTTTCTGTGCCCTGTAAGCTGCTCCCATGTAACCACAAAGAGGCTTAATATTAATTGTAAATGTTCAACCAATTCTCATGGATACGATTAGGAATGGTAGCTGACTTAGAGACTCACTTGAGTATTTTATCAGGATTAGTGTATATATTATAGTTCTATCTGTTAGGTTGGTTTTTTTTTTTTTTTTTTTTGTGTGTGTGTGTGTGTGTGTGCATGTACATGCTTGTTTTAGGAAAATATGTATTGATTGTCATGGCAGATTCAGCAATCTCCATTTCTGCCAGTCATGTTTGATGGTTTATCTCTCCCCACATCTTTACCAGCACTTATTATATTTCCTTGATGATAGCTATTCTTCTTGTGGTGATATGGAATCTGAAAGTAGTTTTAATTTCCATTTCCCTCCTAGCTAAGGATCTTGAACACATTTTCTTTTATATTTATTAGTCACTTTCACTCGTTTTTGAGAACTGTGTGTGTGCTCAGTTTTCTCATTTGAGAATTGAAATTTTCATTCTTTTAGTGTTTGATTTGATAGAAAATATAAATATTAATCCCTTCAAAACCATAGTTGAAGATTTTCTCTTACTCTGTAGGCTGTCTTGCCACTATATTTATTGTTTCCTGTGCTATGCAGAAGCTTTGCAACCATGCAATCTCATTTGTTATTTTTGTAGAATTATTAACTGTGCTATTGGAACATTTATCAGAAACTTACATATGTCTGTATCTTGGAGTGTTTTCTCTAATAGTTTCAAACTTCAGTTCTTACCCTGAGGACTCTGTTTTGAGTTGTTTTTCTTTGTTGTTTTGTTTTGTTTTTCCCCAGGTAATAAGACTCCATGCATCTAGATTGTTTTTCTTTATATGAATTCTCATTTTTTTTTCAGAATAATTTGTTGAAGAGGCTATCTTTGTTCCATATATGCTTTTGGAGCACTTTTGTTGGGAATCAGATTAACTACTTTGGATTATTTCTGAATCCTCTCTTCTATTCTTCTGGTTTATATGCCTGTTTTCAGTATCATACTTTTGCTGTTGTTGTTACTATGGCTTGGTTGCATAACTTGAAATCAGGTGTTGTGATAGTTACTGCTTTGGTTTCTTAGAATGCTTTTTGCTTCCATATGAATTTTTTGGGGGTTGTGTATTCATTAGAATTTTGATGAGCATTGGATGGAATCTATACATTGTTCTGTTGTACAATCATTTAAAACATCAATTTTTGCCAACCTTGGAGTGACCTTGGAATTGGAGTGAGCTTCCCAATTTCTACTCTTTTCCTTAAATACTTTCTTCAGTGTTTTAAAGTTTTCATTACAGGAAATTTACTTCCTGTGGTGGCTTAAATGAGAAGGACCCTGTAGACTCATAGGTCTGAATGTTTGGTTCCCAGAGTGGTAGAACTGTTTGATACAGTGTGGCCCTGCTGGAGGTATGCCACTGGAAGTAGGCTTTGAACTTTGGAAAGCTTACATCATTTCAGTTTGCCCTTTCTGCCTCCTGCTTGTAGATCAGATGTAAGCTCTCAGCTACTGCCCCAGCACCATGCCTGCCTGCTCTCATACTTCCTGCCATGGTAGTCATGGACATGTCCCCTGAAAACTGAAAGCAAGCCCCAATGAAATCTTTTCTTTTATAAGTTGCCTTGGTCATGATATCTTCTCACAGTAATATAAAAGTAGTTAAGACACTCCCTTTACTAGGTTTATTCCTAGGTATTTTGTTGCTATGTTTCAAAAATTCTGTTGTAGATTAGATTTATACTTGATTTCTTTTTATTGGTAAAGTAGGTATTGGAATAAGACAGCATTAATCTTCAAGGTGTGTGTTTGTATGTATAAGAGTATGGGCATTTGAGTGCCATGGTTCAAATCTTGTGGTGAGAGGAGTTAATTCTTGCTTTGCACTTCATTGAGGCAAGGCTTCCGGTTATTTCTGCAGCACTGCATATGCCAGACTAGCTGGCCCACAAGCTTCTAGCAGACTCTCTTCTCTCCTCCTCCTGTATCACCACAGCACTGTAGGAGTTTCAGATGCTCATCTCTACATCCAGGTTTTACTCAAGTCACCAGGCTTATGTGGTAGGCTTTACTCACCAAGCCGTCCCCTGACTTGAATCTGCTACTTTACTAAAAGTGTTAACAATTCTAAGATTTTTTTTTTTTTCTGGTGAAGCCATTGAGATCTGTTACATATGGGACGGTCTCATCTGAACTACTGATAACATGACCCATTCCTCTCCCATTTGTATACTTTCTTCCACCTTTTCTTTTGCCCATTGCCCTAAAACTTCAAACACTACTGAATAAGAATGGAGGAGATGGACACCCTTGTCTCACTCCCTATTTTAGTGAAAATACATTGAGTGTAGTGTTGGCTATACAGTCCCCCCCCACACACACACACCAACTTGCGTACATACATTTAGAAAGTTGCATTTATATTTTTTGTTGGAAAAATTAACTCATACAGAAAAAACTTCAGTCATCTGGGAAAAAATTCCACTTTCACACAGTATGACATCCATAGAACAGGGAACTCCTCTGGGAGGGTCTGTGACTTAGACCCAGACCCTGAAGATCAGGTGAGAATAGCTATGCCTCCTGCAAGGTCTCATTGCCTTAGACGTGAAACCAGATTTCTATTTACTCAGCCTAGTTCTGGAAAGGGACACCAGATGTAAGGGCTAAAAGGGCGGGGGGGGGGGTGTGTGGCTATATTTTATCAGAGAAAGGAAAATGGAAATTTTAAAAATTAATTTTCCATTTGACTTTATTTCCAAATTCTTTCTTTCAACCACTTGCTGTGGGAATGACAAACATCCATATTAGAGAATCCGATTACACCCAAAATGTTGTATCTAGTCTGGGTAGATCTTCTTATTCCTGGTAACATACATTAAGTAGCACTAATTTCACAGTAGCTATAAGGTAACTAACATGACACCATAGCTGGTTTTACTGTACCACAGCTGCGTAGACAAAGTTTCAACAAAAATAAAAGATGGTGATCAAAGGTGTTATGGAGTAGTCTGAAATGGTAACTCAGAATTCTTCGCAGCTGACAGATGACAGGTTGGGCATGTCAGAAAGCAGTTACAGTCTAATAACAAAGTTCCCATTTCTCTTTCTATAAACAACAAATTCTTCAACTAGTGCCTGGTGTTTCAGGTGGAATGCAGAATGGGCTGTTAGAGTCAGGATCCTGGCAGGTCAGATAGATTGGACATCATTAGTAAATTATGGTTGCCCTCTAAACACTGGTAGCAAGATGACTTCTAATTTGCAATCTCAGACATACAAATAAACAAAAAGGCTAGCAATTACCCAATACGATTAGTAAATAGTACTTGAAAATTAACTACACCAGGGCTTTGCTTGCACTGGGCTTCACAAGACGAAGCACCCAGGCTTTTTCTTCCCTCGATTCGTTTGCAGAGCAGCCCTTGTGGCCATTTCGAAGACCATCCTCACTCCATCTTTGGTCTTTGCAGAACACTCCACGTACCCGAAGGCGCCAATGCTGTTGGCCAAATCTCGACCTTGTTCAAGTTTTACCGGCTCCTGCTTCCTCTTGGCTAATTCATATCTTGTGCACCTGTCATTCCGAAGATCCTTCTTGCTCCCAACCAGGATGATGGGCACATTGGGACAGAAATGCTTGATTTCCGGAGTCCATTTCTGTGGGATATTCCCAAAGCTATCAGGGTTGCCAATGGAGAAACACAGCAGGAGGACATCAGTGTCCGGATAGGAGAGCGGTCTCAGGCGATCATAGTCTTCTTGTCCAGCTGTGTCCCACAGTGCCAACTCTACCTGTTTTCCATCCACTTCGATATCAGCCACATAGTTCTCAAACACCGTGGGCACATAAACCTCAGGAAACTGGTCCTTGCTAAAGACGATGAGCAAGCATGTCTTTCCACAAGCTCCATCGCCCACTATCACTAGTTTCTTCCGGATGGACGCCATTGGTTAGGACGTTTCTGCTTCTGTACAAAGCACTTGGGACTTCTCGGACCACGGGCTCTCAGACTATACCCAGACAGGCCGATTACTGCGGAGGAGGATGCCTGTCCAGAGTCACCACATCTGCTGTACAGCTCAGCAGGAGGTGGCAGACTCAGGAAAAAAAAACCAACTGAACAAGGTGTTGGAAGGCCGGTGGTGGAGGGAGGGGGGGCCGCATGCGCACTAGTGCCCAACTTGGCTCGAGCCTGCCAGCCCACCACACCCTCGCGCGTTCACAGTTCAACAGGATTGCTCCAGAGAGGTCTGTTGCCCCAAAAGCAAGGTACTTTAGCCATCTTCACACCCACATGGGGCATGATGGGAATTCTCAGGGTATATTTTTTGCTGTTACTGGATTCTTCAGGGTAGTCTCATAAAGGGTGCTAAATTTTCCCAAAGGCCTTCCTTTGAGATGCTTGTATGATATCTCTCCTTAACTAGATTTAAATGCTTCACTGCACTTACTGGTTTACGTATATTGAACCATTCTTGTATCCTTGGAGTGAAGCATACTTAGCCTCATTCGTGATAATTCTTTTTACTATGCCCTTAATCAACTTGCAAACATTTTATTAAGGATTTTTGCATCTATGTCAGTCAAGGGAATTGATGGATGGGTTCCTTTGTCCTTAACCTGGTTTTGGTATCAGTGCACTATTGGTTTCATAGATTGAGTTTAGTAGTGTTTCTTTCCATTTCATAAAGAAAATCGGGTAAGCATGGAGTTAACTCTTAATGGTTTGGAAGAATTCAGCAGGGAATCCATCCAGTCCTGAACTTTTCTTTGTTGGAAGGCTTTGTATTACTGTTGCAATCATATTCCCTGTTGTGTTTCTCTTTAACTTTTTCACACCTTAATTTTGGTAGACTATTTGTGAATATAAAGGTATCCATTTAGTTTAGATGTTCCATTAGAAACATACGTTTTCTGAATGACCCACAATGATTCTTTGAATTTAATTGGAGTCCACAATAATATACCCATTTTCATTTCTAGTTTTTATTAATTTTGTTTTCTCTGTTGGCTAATTTTGTTAATAATTTTGCTGATATTGTTAATTTTTCCAAGGACCATTTCCTAGTTTCATTGATTCTGAAAATTGCTTTTTAGGCACTAATTTATCAATCTCTGCATTGGTCTTTACTATTTCTTTCCATCCTTTGACTTTAGGTTTGGCTTATTTTCCTATAACCTTGAGCCATACCATTAAGTTAGTTGAGACTTTCCTGATATTTTCACTCATAGAATTGTGTTCCTGTATCCCAAAAGTTCTCAAGTTTCTTATTTCATTTTGGTAACTTCTAAATTATTTCTCCAAAACTGTAGTTAATAATAGCTAAGGAATTTCCACCTGCCTGGTTTCTGACCCCCACCGCTGGTCCTCTACTGGAGTTCTGGACCCCTCCCAGAGATCTGCCTATCTCTGTGAGACCACTCTGAGTTCCTGCCAGCAGGATCCTTGGCCCCCATTGCAGGGCCTTTGCTAAATAAGTCTCAGCTGGAGAGTGCCAGGTCCAGGCTAGATCTGCCTATAGGCACAAGGAACATCCTGAGTCCCAACCTTCGAGATGTTTGACCCCCATCGCAAGTCTTCTGCTGGAGCCTGAATTGCTGACCCTCATTTCCAGGCCCCTGCCTGTGGAGAGACCTCCTAGAGAACTTGGACCACCCAGAGCTACAGATATCGAACCTCTGACCCACCTAAGCCCACTGGGGAAGTACCATAGAGAGAGGGAGAGACCCCACCAACACCTACTGGTAGAAGCTATGGGAAGACGGCAATACAAGAAAACACCTAACAACAAAAAGACAAGCATGACATCACCAGAATCTAGGGAATCTACACCAACTAGAATGGAACACAACAAAAGAGATGAAGCAGAAGGGAATGACTTAAAAATTATCATCATAAAAATGATAGAGGCCCTCAAAGAAGATGTTGAGAAAACCCCTTAAAGAAATAGAAGAAAAAACAAACAAAAAATTGGAAGAAATGAACAAATTTCTTAAGGAAAGTACAGAAAGTACAGAAAGCCAGGAAAAAACAATTAAGCAGATGAAGGAAGCGGTTCAAGACTTGAAAACTGAAATAGAGAAATAAAGACAACACAAACGGAAGGAATGCTGGAAGTAGAAAAGCTGGGCAAACGATCGGGAACTATAGATGCAAGCATAACCAACAGAATTCAAGAGATGAAAGAGAGAATCTCAGGCACGGAAGATAAACTAGAAGAAATAGATTCATCAACCAAAGAAAATCGTAATTCCAACAAATCATTAACACAAAACATCCAGGAAATGTGGGACAGCGTGAAAAGGCCAAACCTAAGAATAATAGGCATAGAGGAAGGTGAGGAAGCCCAGCTCAAAGGTGCAGAAAACATATTCAACAAAATCATCAAGGAAAATTTCCCAATCTGAAGCAGGACATGCCCATGAAAGTACAAGAAGCATACTGAACACCAAATAGGCTGGACCAAAGAAAAAAGACCCCTCGACATATAATAATCAAAACACCTAACATAAAGAATAAAGAAAGAATATTAAGAGCAGTGAAGGAAAAAGGAAAAATATAAAGGCAGACCTATCAAAATTACACCTGACTTCTCCATGGAAACCCTCAAGGCTAGAAGGTCCTGGATTGATGTTCTACAAGTACTAAGAGTCCACGGATGCCAGCCCAGGCTACTATACCCAGCAAAACTCTCAATCACTATAGGTGGAGAAAACAAGATATTTAATGACAAAGCCAGATTTTCCCAATACATATCTACAAATCCAGCCCTACAGAAAGTATTGGAAGGAAAACTCCAACCTAGGAACTTAACTACGCCCACAACGACGCAGGCAACAGATAATCTCACTACACCAGAAACCAAAGGTAAAGCAGGACATATATATTCACAATACCTCTGCCAAGAACAAATCTAAAACAAACAAGCATTAACAATCAATGGTCCTTACTCATCCTCAACATTAATGATCTTAACTCACCTATAAAAAGACACAGGATAACAGAATGGATACGAAGACAGAATCCATCCATCTACTGCATACAAGAAACACATCTAAGCTTCAAAGATAGACATTGTACCTCAGGGTAAAGGGTTGGGAAAAGATCTTCCAATCAAATGGACCCAAGAAGTAAGCAGGTGTGACTATCCTAATATCTAACAAATTAGACTTCAAACCAAAATTAATCAAAACAGATGAAGACAGTCACTTTGTATTCATTGCAGGAGAAATCCAGCAACACAAAGTCTCAATTCTGAACATCTATGTCCCAAATACAAAGGCAACCACATTCGTAAAGGAAACATTACTAAAACTCAAACCTCACGTAAAACCTCACACACTTATATTGGGAGACTTCAATACACCACTCTCACCACTAGACAGGACCACTGATCAGAAATTCAACAAAGAAACAAAACAACTATCAGAAGTTATGTCTCAACTGGGTTTAACAGACATCTATAGAACATTCCATCCAAACAGAAAAGAATATACCTTCTCTGCTCCACATGGAACCTTCTCTAAAATCGACCACATATTAGGTGGCATAACAAACCACAACAGATACAAGAGAATTGGAATAGTAGCTTATCAGACCACCATGCTTTGAAATTGGAATTCAACAACACAAATCGCAGAAACCCTACAAACTCATGGAAAATGAACAATGTGCAATTGCACTCCATCTGGGTCAAAGAAGAAATAAAGAAAGGAATTAAGAAATTTCTAAAATTCAGTGAGGACACAACATACCCGAACTTATGGGTCAACTTGAAAGCAGTGTTACCAGGGAAGTTCATTGCACTAAGTGCCCATATGAAGAAAACAGAGGAAAGTCACATTAGAGAATTCACAGCACAACTAAAAGCCTTAGAACAAAAAGAAGCAAACTCACCCCGGAGGAGTAGATGCCAGGAAATAATCAGCTTAAGGGCTGAAATCAACAAAATAGAAACCAGGAAAACATTACAAAACATCAATGCAACAAAGAGGTTTTTTTTTTTTTTTTTTTTTTGAGAAAATCAACAAGATAGACAAACCTTTATCCAAACTATGAAAAAGCAGACAGAGAGAACATGCAAATTAACAATAAGAAACGAAAATGGTAACATGCCAATGGACACAGAGGAAATCCAGACAATTTTCAGGTCATACTTTGAAAACCTGTATTCCACAAAAATTGAAAATTCAAAGGAAATGGACAAATTTCTGGATAACTACCAAAATTAAATAAAGAAGAGACAAACAACTTAAATAGACCTATAACCCACAATGAAATAGAAGCAGTCATCGAAAGCCTTCCAACCAAAAAAAGCCCAGGGCCAGATGGCTTCAGTGCAGAATGCTACCAGAAATTCAAGGAAGAACTAATGCCAATACTCCTCAAACTGTTGCACACAATAGAAACAGAAGTTTCATTGCCAAACTCTTTCTACAAGGCCACAATAACCTTGGTACCCAAACCTCACAAAGACACAACTAAGAAAGAAAACTACAGACCAATATCCCTGATGAACATCGATGCAAAAATACTCAAAAAAATACTGGCAAACCAAATCCAAGAATACATCAGAGAAATCACCCACCATGACCAAGTAGGTAGGCTTCATCCTGGATTGCAGGGATGGTTTACCATATGAAAAATCTATCAACATGATCCACCATATAAACAAACTAAAAAAGAAAAACCATATGATCACCTCCCTAGATGCTGAAAAAGCCTTCGACAAAATTCAACACCCTTTCATTATAAAGGTCTTGGAGAGATCAGGGATAACAGGAACATACCTAAACATAATAAGAGCAATATACAGCAAACCAACAGCCAACATCAAACTGGAGAGAAACTTAAGCCAATTCCTCTAAAATCAGGAACAAGACAAGCCTGCTTGTTCTAGCTAAAGCTATAAGACAACACAAGGAGATCAAGGGGAACCAAACTGGAAAGGAAGAAGTCAAACTGTCTCTATTTGCAGATGATATGATAGTTTACATAAGATACC